AAAAAAAAAAAAAGACTATCCAACACAGTGGTTAAAGCGATGGGCTGCTAACCGAAAGGTTGGCAGTTCAAAACTACCAGCAGCTCCGCGGGAGAAAGATGTGGCAGTCTGCTTCCGTAGAGGTTTACAGCCTTGGAAACTCTGTGGGGTCACAATGAGTCATAATCGACTCAGTGGCAGTGGTTTTGGTTTGGTATATAAAAGTAAAGAGAATTCTGCGCTGAAACATCATGTATCCTTCACCAGCTTTTGATGGTCAACGCACAGCTATTCTTGTTTCCTCTGTGCTCCCACCTCGTCTCTCCTTCCCCATCCCAGATTATGTTAAAGCAATTCCCAGATACATCATTTCACCTGTAAATATATTAGTATATATTCAGTATGTCTGAACAGATGAGTATTCTTTGTGAAATTAGAATCACAGAACCATCATATCACCTAAAAAACTAATAGTCCTCAATATCAACAAATACTTGATTAGTATTCACATTTTTCCAATTATCTCATAAATGCGTTTTATAGTTTCTTTGAATCAGGGTTTGTTGAATCAAACATTGGTCTATACGATGTCATTGATTGATATGTTTCTCAAATCTCTTTCAACTTCCAGGTCCCCTCCATATCCACACCCCCACCCCCGCCACACACACACCATTCTCTACTCTCTCCCTCCCGCCACCTTCTCTCCTGCAGGTTAGTTTTTCAAGAATCCGGGTTGGTTTTCCTGTAGAGTTTCTGACAGTTTGAATTTTATAGATTGCATCTCCGTGTTATCATTTAACATGTTTCTCTGACCCCTGTCTTCCCTACAAATGAGTAGCTAGATCTAAAGACTTGATCAGATTCACGTTCTGTTTTGGCAAGAAGGCTTTGTAGGTAGGTAGGCGTCCTTCATGAGGAGACACATGATTCCCGGTCATCTCTTCCTGATGTTAACAGGCACCGATGCTCATTACTTTGATAATACAGCCACATCAGCTGTCTTGGGTTTAGTATTTGCGTGATATGCCTGTTTTTACCCTTTTATTTTCAACTTGTATCTTTAAAGTGCATTTCTCATGGACAGCATATAGTTGGGTCTTGGGCATAGAATTCTGGGTTTACTTTTTTTTTCCTTTCAAAACTTTAAGACTTTATTTCTTTGTATTATGACCTTCAGGGGGTTTTGTTTGTTTTTCTTCTTTTTAAGAAGTTAGCCGTCATTTATGTCATTGTCCCTGTATGTATGTAACATTTATTTTTCTGGTTGCTTTCAAGAGTTTTCATTTTATCTTTGGTTTTCAAAGCAGTTTGACTGTGATATGTCTGGAGGTAGTTTTCAGCTTGAGGTTTGTTGAGATTCTTGGGTCCTCAAGGGCTTTTAAAAATTATTTTGTATTCATTTTTTTGTTTTATTTTGTTTAGTTTTGTTTTTACTAAATTTGGGGACTACCTGGCCTTTCTTACTTTTACTTCCCCCACCCCCCATTCTCTCTCTGCTCTCCTTCTTGGACTTCAGTTATCTGTATATTAGACCACTGTGGATCTGTTCCTTTTTTAATTTATTATATATTTTTAAATTTCTATTGATCTGCCTTCAAATTTACTAACCCTTTTTTCTGCCATCTCTAATCTGCTACTAAGTCCGTCCAGTGAATCTTTCATTTTGGATATTGTACTTTCAGTTCTAAAATTTTCATTTTGTTCTTTATTAGAGTTTCCATTTCTCCTCTGAGATTCCCCATCTGTTATGACTCATTACAACCATCAGTTCCTTTAAGTTCTTAAACTTATTTATACTATCTCCTTTAAAGCCCTTGTCTGTTCATTTTAACATCTAGGTTATCTTAGGGTCGGTCTGTTTTTGTTTACTACCTTTCCTTTTGATTATGGGTCACATTTTTCTGTGTCTGCACATCTAGAAAAATTTTGACTAACGGACATTATAGGTAATATATTATTGAGGCTCTGAATTGTGTTCTATTCCTGTGAAGTGTTGACTTTTTTTTTTTTTTTTTTTAACACAATAATGTAACATTTATTCTTAGGATTAACGTTTGTATCCTTCACTAAAATATAAGCTTCATGAGGGCAGGACCCATATCTTTTGCTCCCCGTTGTATTCTTTTTAAAAATGCTTTATTGTGTTTTAGGTGAAAGTTTACACAGAAAATTAGGTTCCTATTTAACAATTTTTATACATATTGCTCCTGACATGGGTTATAATTTTCACATTCTGTCCGCATTCTCATTATTTCCAGTCTGTTTGTTCTGTTTCCACTGATCTAGCTTCCCTTCCCCTCCTTTTCTTCTCATCTTTGCCTTTCGGTAAATGTTGACTGTTTGGTCTCATATACTTGATTGTTTAAGGGACACATTATTCATGGGTGATATTGTTTATTTTATAAGTCAACCTATTATTTGTCTGAAAGGTGACCTCCAGAAATAGCTTCAGTTCGAAGTCCAAAGGGCATCTTAGGGTGATAGTCTCGGGGGCTCCTCTAGTCTCTATCAGTCCCGTAGGTCTGGCCTTTTTTAGGAATTTGAATTTTGTTCCAAGTTTTTCTCCCATTCTATCCAAGACCTTCTATTGTGTTCCTGGTCAGAACAGTCAATAGTGGTAGCCAGGCACCATCTAGTTCTTCTGGTTGAAGTGTTGACTTTTGTTCTAGCAGGCAGTTAAGTTACTAGCTAGTTACTTCGGATTTTTGGAGGCTTGTTTTGTACACTGTCTGTGTTAGGACAAATCTGCTTTAGTTTTTGCCTTTAATGCTCAGGCAAATCCGTTAGTCCTCAAGCATAGCCTTTACTCCTAAGGTGTGGCCATTCTGGGGTAATGGAAAGTCTGAGGTGTCTACAAGGCCCTTCTAATTTGATTGGACTCACACTCTGAACCCTGTCTCTACTGCAGTGGTCAGTAACTGAGGTTTCTTCTCAGTCTCTCACCCATACAGCTGTTGCTTTTCACTGGGTTCCTGAGAGTCTTCCCTGCAAGTGTGTTGTTCAGGGATCAGATGAGGATTTGAGGGAACTTTATATGCAGATTTGGTGGCTACTCCCTCAAGACTGCCTCCTTTATGGGATTTGCCTCCTCAGTTCCCTGCCATTCTGGCAACTCCATATTCTAGCCTCTGATATCTCCAACAACTTTCTGTTAATTTTCTAGTTGCCCCACACTGCATGGACTGGGGAGAAAAGCTGTATCAGTATGGATTTTACTCCATACAGTTCCCTTCTTTCAAGAGTTAAATCCCCTTCCATTTTTGTCTGCTTTTGGTCACTCTCAAGTACCTACAGATACTTTTTTTTCATGTATTTTCTCCAGACTCTATAGTTACTATCTTTGGAAGAGTTAGTCCAATACAAGCCATTCTGCCATCACTGAAACTAGGAAATCCGCCCTTTCTTCAATAAACGGTAGCCTATCATATCATAAAACACTTTATCTTGCTTTTCTTATCTAGCAATAGAGCCTAGAGACCAGTCCTTAGTAGAATACTGATATGTGCCTTATTCTGTTTTACAGCTGCGTAGTACTCCATTGTTTAGATATACTACGATTTATGAAACCAGTACCCTATTGATAACGACTCTACTGACTAAGCACTTTAGAGTTCATGGCAACAGGTTATACAGGAGTCACAAAACAAGCCCTTTGCTTTCAAGCAGATGATTTTTTCATGATCATGAATAATATTTCTTTTGTTCACTGTCTCATTTAATAGGTAATATCTAGTGGAGCTTTAAAAAACAAAAAAGTGTCCATTTTCCTGTTAACCCTGTGTAAAACTTTAAGAAACCGCCACTAGGGACTCTGTTTACTGACCCTATCAGATTGCCAGGTCCCATTTTAACATTGTTCATGTAGATATAGTCTTAATGGACAAAGGTGATGTCTTTGACTTGCTTTACGTAGAGAACCATGGTTAATGAGTCTTTGACCAGTACAGGATAGCAAGCATGCTCATTCTTTTGATGAAGACAGCTGTGGGAACAGATGTGTGGGACCCTAGAGAAAATTCCATGGTCATGGGCAGATTTCTATCCTTAGCAGGGACTCCTGGTATATGTGCTGGTCCTTTCCTCAACCCAGCCCCAGAGCTACTTCTATTGCTCAGCTGTGTTCACTTCTAATGCTGTCCCTGCTCAGGTGTCACCAGCTGGAAAGTTCAAGTAGGAGGGATGGGGGCGTTGCTAGGGCTGTCCATCCATCCTCCTCCTTACCTACCCTTACCTGTCTCTTCGCATTTGGCAGGTCTGGAAGTGCAGGAATAATGTGCTACTAAATGTTCTTTCAAGTACAACAAGATTGTCATTCTGTAGACTAGGGCTGCTGTTCACGCTTAGAGCAGCTTTTGACATGGCTTTGGTCCCTGATTTCTACAGAGCTAAGTGGCAGCATAGTGTAATGGGCACATAGACTCTGAAATCTGACTGGAGTCTGCGTTCTACGCCCCTGACTTGGCCGTGTGACCTTGAGTAAGTTACTTCTTTGTGCTTCGTTTTGCCACCTGTAAAATAGGAGTCAGAGTAGCATCCCTTGCTTAGATGTCTTCTGAGTTTTAAACAGTGTAATCCAGTGCCTAGGATATAGTAATTACTTCATCATCATCATCATCATTACTGTTATCATCAATAGCAACAACGACCTTTGGAGGTAGAGAATATGAAAACCTGGCTGTGAAAAATAGAAGTCAGTAACACTGAAAGCCGCGTACAAGAATCAAGTGAGAAAAAGATAAACAATGCAAGTCTGGCTTCATTGTCTTCATAAGCCACTGGTGGGTGATTAATGGCATGTGGGTGGACATTCTTAGCTTGTGTTGTGGTAGGAAAAGAATTTCAAGAATGGGCACTTGAGCTTTTTTTTAAGCAGTGAAGAAGACACTCCTCATCCTGGGAAGAAAGCTGCTACCCTGTGTTCGCACATACTCCATTGTTTGCTACATTTAGAACCACAGTGAAGTCCCTTTCCTGACAATTCATAGGGGTCTGTGATTATCTTTCCCTCTCCTCCACAGATAATTGTGTCCAGCGGACCCCAAGGCCATCTGTGGAGAATGTGCACCACAACCCACCCACCATTGAACTGTTGCACCGGTCCAGGTCCCCCATCACGACAAATCACCGACCTTCTCCTGACCCCGAGCAGCGACCCATCCGGTCCCCCCTGGACAACATGATCCGCCGCCTGTCCCCAGCCGAGCGGGCCCAGGGACCGAGGCTCCATCAGGAGAACAACCACCAGGAGTCATATCCCCTGTCCGTGTCTCCCATGGAGAATAATCACTGCCCACCATCCTCAGAGTCACACCAGAAGCCATCCAGCCCCCGGCAGGAGAGCACACGAGTGATCCAGCTGATGCCCAGTCCCATCATGCACCCCCTGATCCTGAACCCCCGACACTCCATGGATTTCAAACAGTCCAGGCTCTCTGAGGATGGGCTGCATAGGGAGGGGAAACCCATCAACCTGTCTCACCGGGAAGACCTGGCCTACATGAACCACATCATGGTCTCTGTCTCCCCACCTGAGGAGCACGCCATGCCCATTGGGAGAATAGCAGGTGAGTGCACGCCCCTCACTGCCCCCTCAGCACCAGGGGAGACCTGACAAGGCCCCAACTGGCTCCATGGTGGTGTTGTTACCTGCCGTTGAATCAGCCCCAACTCATGGCGCCCCCGTGTGTTATAGAGTAGAACTGCACTCCATAGGGTTTTCTTGACTGTGATCTTTACGAAAGCAGATTGCCAGGTCTTTCTTCCGTAGAGCCACTGGGTGGGTTTGAACCACCAACGTTTAGGTTAGCAGCTGATTGCAAACCACTTGTGCCACTCAGGCTCCTGGCGCTCTCTCTATAGAGCCTTGTCGCTAGCCTCACAACCTTCCCAGTTAGGGGCCCTCACAGGCTCTGTGAGGGCAAGTGGAGGCTTCTGCCAGGATGAGGCGAAATCCCTAATGAGATAGTTAATGAGCCACTCAGATGGAGTAGTTAATGAGCCTCAGAGAATGTTAAAAAAACAAATGTCCTACATTCAGCTGACAAGGAGAGTCACATCAGAATCATGGCTAAGCGAAAACATTTAAAATAAAAGGTTTATGAGGATGTTAATGGCCCTGTCCTGAAGCTCCCAGCAGCTAATTAATGACCAGACACAGCATAAAGAATCTTTGTCTCAGATTCAGGCCTGTAATCCCATCCTTCGGGCAGTAACTCAGTGGAGCCTTCACCTTGGAAGGAGGTCGGAGGAGAAAACAGGATGGTGGTGTTCAAGGCAGGTATCGCTGGGTCATCTGGACAGAGGAAACCACTCCCAGACTCTTCCTTTTATGCTAAGAAGCCCCAGTTTGCTTACCTAAAGGAAGAAATGAATCTATGCGTTGTATATTTGCCAGTCTGCCCATAATTTGCATGGAACCATCCCTCCAGAAAGCTTAATCCTCCTACTACTTGGCAAGGTTAGCTAGCGTCTCTCCATTCAGGAAATATTTGTTGAGCACCTACTGTGTACAGATCAGTGTATTAGGAGGTAGGGCATACAGAGCTGATTTAACACACAATCCTTTTCCTCAAGGAGTTGAAAATTTGGTAGGAGAGACGGATGTGCAAAGCACTGGCTAAGATATAAAGCAGAATGACTTAAGTCCCATGTCTCATGGGTTTAATGTGCAAGCATCCATTGAACACCCACTGTGTTCCAGGATAATGAAGTGCTGTGGAAGGAGAGCAGAAGGAAGGCTCATTTTGACTGGAGGAACTGAGGAAGGCTTTGCAGGGAAGGTAGCTTAGAGCTGAAGGAGGTTGTGCTTTCAGTGGTGGGAGTGAGGGACTCAGGAGAGCACAGGAGCAGAGGCCTGTCCAGAGACAGTGAGAAACGCCCCTCCTCCATGAGCTGATGGGCCAGCTGAGCACCAGGTGGAGCAATTCCAGTAAGGACATAACATCAGGTCCTCCTACTTGACCAACATTTTTCTCAGCCGTCAACAGTGTTCCTGGCCTGTGCACCCCCCATGGTGTTTCACAGCAAAGAGTATATTGGCAGTAAGCACCTGTAGCCCTAGTGGTGCGGTGATTAAGAGCTCGGCTGCTAACCAAAAGGACGGCAGTTGGAATCCACCAGCTGCTCCTTGGAAACCCTGTGGGCTAGCTCTACTCTGTCCTGTAGGGTCACTATGAGTTAGAATCAACTCCACGGCAACGGGTTTGTTTGTTTTTTAAGCGCCTGTAGGTTGATGAGGTGTAATACCGGTTGGCTTAGTTTCCTAGCGCCGCTGTAACAGAAATACCACAGTGAGTGGCTTTAAAGAACAGAAATTTAATTTCTCACAGTTTAGGAGGCTAGAAGTCTCAATTCAGGGCACTGGCTCTTGGGGAAGGCTCTCTCTCCCTCTCTCTCTCTTTCTCTCTCTCTCCCTCCCTCCCTCTCTCTCTCTCTCTTTCTGTGGGCTCTGGGGAGAGATACTTGTCTTGACTCATTGTCCCTTTTTTAATCTAAATAACTTGTTTCTAAGTTTTTCTCTGGCCTCAGGAGCATCTCAAGTGTTGCCTCTATTTTGCTGTTATAATTTACATCAGGGATGAGGAATCGAGAAAATAAAATGGCAAAGAAATATGATTTGTGCTTTTTCAAAACAAAAAACATGAAAAGTGAAATGATATATGTCTGGGATTCATTTCAAAATGATCCCGCAGGGCTGGGACGAGGAATGGATGGAGTATACGTAAAATAAGATTACCTGTGAGCAGAAGGTTGTATGGCTGCTTAATGGATGCAGGGGGTTCATATTATTGTTCTCTCCCCTTTTACATATATATTAGATTTTTTTTTTTTTAAGAAAAAGAAAAGAAGGAACAAGGGATAAAGAAGCAAATAGAAGCAAAGAGCTCAGCAAAGCTCTTTATCTGAAATTCCCCCAGATGATTACAGAGAGAACATGGGTCAGTATATTGCTGTGAATAATAAAAATGACCTCTCTCATGCTATCCAGGCAAGACCCTCCTTGTCTTGTTTCTTACCTGGTGTGTACATTTTGCAGATACTTTTTACTAGTTTATAATTCTCAGGACACCTCTTTGAGGTAGCTTATTACTGCTAAGGAGCCCTGGTGGCACAGTGGTTAAGAGCTACGGCGAGCTACGGCTGCTAACCAAAAAGGTCGGCAGTTCAAATCCACCAGCTGCTCCTTAGAAACCCTATGGGGCAATTCTACCCTGTCCTATAGGGTCACTATGAGTCGAAATTGGCTCGATGGCAACGGGTTAATGAGGTTAGTTAGTACTACTAAATTCATTTTATGTGGAAGGGAAAACTGAGCCCCAGAGAAGCAAAAGGCCTTCGCTCAAAGTCAAATAGGGGTTGTTGGGTGACGGAGTCTGCAGGAGAACCCTTGCCCCCCGGTGGCTGCTGTCCGCAGTACTGCCTCGTGACCCAAACTTCCAGAGTTCAGGTTTGTTGCACCACCTTCTGTGTGACACTGTCTTCCCCACAGACACTCCTTGGCAACCAACGATAAGCCCATAAAAGCAAGTTAGCTATCTAGACTTAGAGTGAGTTTTGCCTCGTACAGTAGGTTTGTAAATTTCAAAATATCAATCTCTTAAAAATTATAGTACTATTTTTTTAAATCTTGTTCCTGAATGTCAGCATTTTTTGATGACAGATGCAATCTCATCAGTAAGAAGCTCCTTGGAATAATGTACCAAACAGCTGACGAAGCTGGATGCGTATAGATGCCCTCTGTCTCAGAAACACACGGAAGCGGGGGGTGGTATGCTTTTCTTTAGGCTCTGTTGTTATTCTTAGCTGCCATCTAGTTGGCCCTCAACTCACAGCAACCTTATACGCAACGCGATCAGACCACTGTGATCCATAGGGTTTTCACGGGCTAATTTTCAGAAGTAGATTGCCAGGCCTTTCTTCCTAGTCCATCTTAGTCTGGAAGCTCCGCTGAAACCTGTTCAGCATCATAGCAACACGTAGTCCTCCACAGACAGAATCAAACCTGGGTCTCCTGCATGAAAGGCAAGAATTCTGCCACTGAACTTGCCCTCTCTGTAGGCTCTAGAAGTCAGAATATTCACATAAAACATCCCTGGGACCCAGATCATTTGTGGGACTGTGTTAACTCTTTCAGTATGACAGTGTCCCCTAAAAGTGTTCATTATTAATGCCTTAAAGGTATATTTGAAGTTTAAAAATCTTCAAGAGTGTTTATTAACTAGTTTAACTGAAAAGCATTGGTTTTCTCAGGGGCGAAATGACAGCATCATATTGGGTGGTCTCTAACGCTGCTTCCAGCTCTGTAGTTCTGTGATTTAACACTTAGCCTGGATTCTGTAACCCTCCAAAGAGAATGCATCACAATTCCAAGCTCCCTGTTTATTTGAGATACCCCTGCCTTCCACCCTAAGCCTTCTGTGTATTTTTGGACTGCCCACTTTCTTGTAAAATAGATTCTCTTTATTGGAGGTCAAATTCATTGTGTAATTCCTATGTACAGTGGTAAAGTTCTGTCATTACTGAGCAGCCATAAAAATCTCTTAAATCTCTATAAAGCAGCTGTTAGATAAGAAACTTAGTTCCTTCAAGCTTTTTAAATGTGCACAGCACGGAAATAAACGAAAGTACCGTGAAATGTCACACTGATAAATTCCATATCTGGAGGGTAAGATGGAAAACACTCCTTACTAATGTGAATCAAAAAACAAAGCCACATTTTTATCCATTCTGATATCATTTGCTCAGGCGCACTAGGATTTATGCATTTCGGCCCCTTCTGTGTCTGAGGTGCTGTGGTACATTCTTTGAGGGCGTTCAAGGAGGTGGTAAGATACACTCTTTATCACCAAAGAGCTGAGCACGGTTAACTATGAAAGTGCAGTATGTGACAGTGGCTTAGAGGGGCTCTTGTTTAATACTGTAGGAAGTCAGAATAGGGAAGTCGAGGAGGCTGCATGGAAGAGCTGGCTTTTATGAATGCCTCACAGAAGAAAGGCCTGGCAATCTGCTTCCGTAAAATTACAGCCAAGAAAACCCTATGGAGTAGTTCTACCCTGTAACACATGAGGCCACCATGAGTCAGAATCAACTCAACGGCAACAAGTTTGATGAATGTTTAGAGTAGGGACAGGTGGAGGTTAGAGAAAAAGAGGTCATTCCAGATGGAGGAGACTCCAGGAACAAAGCAAGACATGGCCCAGTGTATTTTTCCTATTTCAGGTGGAAATGTAAATACAAGAGTTTATCCAGGTCATTAGAAATCCATCATATTTCTTCATCGATTCTCATTTTTTTCACTTTTTAATATCTCTGAAATGAGGATGCATCTTACAATTAGGAAATTACTTGGAAAGTTATAGCAGTTTGCTTAGGTATTGACCTTGTGGCAAAACTAAAATAATCAATAAAGGAAATTCAGTAGGCTGTTGACAGTTTGAATACAAACCACAAATTAGATCTATTTAAATACAACATTAGCTTATATTTAAAGGTGTGACTTACTTTTCAAAGGTAAGAAGGACAGGTATTAAGAATTTAACAAGTTGGAATGGCTGCTGTTTCTGGG